CCGCACCCGTTGCGCCCGCGTCCTGGCGGGGTCCCCGGGCCCCGAATCCAGCAACAGGTTTGAGTGTCAGCCTGGATTCACGGGGTCCCCTCCTTCCTCGCGTGCGGGCATCCCGGGCAAGCCCCTGCGTCTCTGCGTCCTGGCCCGCTCCTTTGTGTGCGCTGGTGGCCGCCGGTGCGGGACGCGGGCTGCAGGGCCCGAGCTCAGGGGTCGTCCGTAGGACTCGGCTTCCTCGGGGCCTGCGGGCGGGTCACAGCCCTCCAAGCCCTAGACGGCCACAAAGGGAGGCCCGAGGTACTTGGCCAGGGTGCGGGGACAGTGTCCCCTAGAAGGAAGGAGAGCCGCAGTCTGCCTAGCTCTGGAGGGGATGGTGGGATTCACCCTGCCTGCGGCAGGGGCATGCAGACACTGACAACCCCGTGGCTTTCTGAGCTTTGACATCCTCTCACACATGGCCCTCACCCAGAGAAGTTGGGAGTGCTGCTGTGGGAATAACTAGGCAGCTGCTGTTTGACAGGTCCTAGCTGTCTTCAGGTTTTGTCTGTATCCAGCATAACCCACCATGCCTGCTAGCCGTATGCCAAGCTCTCACATTAAAACTGACACTCAGGGTACCCCCATGTTGGAAAAATCCATGTGGTTTTCTTTGGTTGGATCAATTTTATTTTCTTAGTGGGATGGATTTACCCCCCATCCAGGAAGAAATCTCAATAAAGAACAATTTATCTTTGTTTACAAACCTTGGGTCTTGTCACACCTCGCTGGTTTCATTGGTATGCTATTTTAGTATAACAATACTAAATAGAAGGAAAATATCTTCCTTTTGCTTTAGGCAATAAAATACTTTCTTTGTTCTAGCACCAGGAAGCCTTTATGCATAATACTTTTTGTGGACAGAACTTGGTGGCTACTTTTACCCTATGACAACAAAAACTCCAAAGGAATTGCAGAGCATTTACACTTCTCTATGGATTGTTTTTATATCCCAAATTCCAGTAAATCATTTTGCTGAATATGTATTCAGACATTCCAGATGAAATTGAACCTTAAAAACTGGCCCTACTCTATGCATTTAAAGAGTTTGCCCGCATTTTAACCACTGTGGATGAGCACTGGAACAGTCCATGTAAGAAAATAGGATGCAATGATGGACCCGGCAATCTGAAAGCAGAATACAGAACGTTATAATGAGGACAGAAAAGTTGGGTCTGCCTGGGTTTCAGGTGATTGACAGGTGCCTAAAGGTGTTTTTAAACAGGCATTCTTACTGATGATGTATCTGAAAAGTCAGAAAAAAAAATCACATTTTGATGTATGAATATGTATCCTATAAGGATTCCCTTAGAACAAACACAGTCTCTAAAGGTGATTCTTTTTAAGGAATGAGATTCTAGCAGATTAATCTGCTTTGTACAGTGTCTTTGGAATAAGTTCACTTTATTAAAAACACCATTTGTGTGTAATATCTAACTTCAAAAAGCTTTTTTAGCTCTTGCAGGCAAACAGGAGTAATCTCTTGGGGGAAAGTAGGCCATTTACTAAGTGTTCTGGTTAGCTTTTGTCAACTGGACTGAAACTAGAATTTCCTGGGAAGAGGGAATCTCAGTTAAGGACTTACTTCCATCAGATTGGTCTACTGTAGGTGAGTCTATGGGGCCTTTTTTGTTGCTGGGCTGGTGGTCTTGGCTTATGTAATAAGAAAGCAAACTGAGCAAGCCATGGAAGCAAGCCAGTAAACAGCACTCCTCCATGGCCTCTGCATCAGCTCCTGCCTTGAGTTCCTGCCCTGGGTTCCCTGATGATGGATTCACACCATGGAATTCACTCTTTTTGTATATTCACAAGAGTGTAAGCGTCATAGCCAGTTCTAGGCAAGCACTACTATCCCATGACTCTGTGGATTTGCCTTTTCTGGACATGCCTTAGGTGGAATTATGCGCTGTGTGGTCCTCAGTGCCTTTCACTTAACATCAGTGTTCATCCATATTATAGTATGTACCATTTTTATGGGAAAATAATATTTCATTGTGTGGATATGCCACAGTCTATTAATTCAGCTGATGAGCATTTGGGTTACTTTTACTGTGTTGTATAATGCTTCAGTGCATAGTCACTTTCAAATATTTTATGAACATATTTTTGTTTCTCTTGGGACTATACTTCTGTGTGGAATTTCTGGTCACATGGTAACCGTAGCATTTTGAAGGACCGTTCCCAGAGCTGCTATACATTGGCATTCTTATCACCAATGTATGAAGGTTCTATTTTCTTCTATTAATTTGTTTTTGATGTGGTCTAGGTGATGACACTCAGAGTCTTGCACATGGAGGCACCTTATCAGCTGAGCTATACCCCCACATACCTGAGGGTTCCCCCTGTTCCGTATCTTCCCTGGTAAAGATTATCTTTTTGATGAGTCCTGTCAATCCTAGTAGTTGCCAAGTGATGTGTTTTTTTTATTTACATTTTATCTTTTTATGTTTCTATGGTATTTGTGTATTTTCTTTGGAGAAATGTTTATAGCTTATATCTTCACAGGTATTTCCATATTTGATCTCCAAATCACGCTAGAAGGTAGATTTTATGTAGTTTACTAGTAGGTGCAGAAAGATTCTCTGCTTTGCTTGTTTTGAAGCTTTATAGTTAGAGACAGGGTCTGAATGTGGACTTCTGTCTTTTGACTTTACTTCCTGCATTCTTCTACTTGGTGAGGCGTGCAGAAATTACACTTTGCTTGGTTAATGAATGACAAAGCTGGGTGGGGGGGAATTAAACCAGATCAAAAGGAAGCAAGTGTATGAGCCTACTGCTTTGTTACCAGATTTTGTCATGCTTTTAAGAATAAATTGTTTTCTCCCATCCTAATAGAGGGAAGGCATGGTTTCCTTATGTCAAGTGGGGAAACAGAGTCATGGTTGTATCTAGTATCTGCTTCTTCATGCCTGCCTGATCCCAGAGCCCTGTGTTCAGTCTCTCAGCCAGTGTGGCTTCTATTTTCCTATTAATTTGTCCCTCCAGGGCTAAGATAATTGAACATTTTTCTACAAAAAATAATGATGTTTCTGTAGATCAAACTGGAATTCAATTTTGTATTGGAGGGTGCAGTTTTGCTTTGAAGTGTTGGCTCATATTCCAGCTTTTATGCACCCCTTAAAATTCTAATGTGTGGGGATGCCCAGCTCCTTAGAAGCTAGGTGGGAACCAGATAGTATTCATTCTTCATGGCAAATCCATTGGCAGTGTACCTGACACATAAACAGGGACGAATATTTGTCAAATGATTATAAATACATTTAGTCATTGGAAAAATGATAATATTCTTGAAGTATAAGATTTTGAAAATCTGGAATGGATACAAATTAGAAGTTGACTGAACTCTCTCATGTCTTACAGTAGTAACTGGTCTGTTTAAGAACATGGTGACTAACATACTTGTTTTCCAACTTAACTGAGTAGACAAATGTAGTAATTGGACCCTGGGTGTCTGTTGAATGAATGAAGAAAAGAATTAGAGTTGGTTATACTAACTAGAGCAGCTCTAGGAAAAGAATAGTTGGGTTCTGCTTTTAATTTGTATTCTTATTTATCAGACATGGAACATGCTAATTATACAAACCAAAAGGATCATGGGAATATAGATTAGAAGCTGAATGTCTCCCCCTTCACTTCCTGTCTCTCTACTCCCCCTTTACCCTGCAGTCACTTGTGTCTCAAGCAGCGTCTGTTAACAGTGGCACTCACATTTCTGTACCTCTCTGTCTTTGTACTTGTGTGTGTGTAAACACTTGTTCACATGACCCACTACACACATATGTAGCCATGCATTCACAGGCAGCTTTTATTTCACAGATGGGATGATAGTACATGTATATTTTTGCTTTTCACACAAATATATTAAGACTTATGCACTGTAGTCACACATGATAAGCATAACAATAAACATTATATTTCATTTTCAGTTTGTCCTTGCCTGGTTTTGGTGTCCAGATTAAACAGAGCCTTCAGAGATTAGTGGGCTACTTTCCCTGTTTCTGAGCTCTGGGACAGATCCAGATGCCTGTCTTGTCAGTATGCGCTAGCTATCACCTGACACCTGTGGGGGACGGAGCACTCTGAGGTGACCTTTCTGATTTTTCCCCCATTCGTTTTGGACTATCAGATTCCAGCATTTGCTTCCTGTTACACTTTATGAGTTAATGAAGGTAGATAATTAACTAAGTCAGTATGTAGGGTTAGCGTGGCTTTCCTCTCAGAGGATGATAACATAAAGTCCTACATGCCTGTTTCCTGGCTGTGAATTGAGGCGGGCTTCTTTCTCCTCCAGCATCCCACTGTCCTATACAGTTCAGTACTTTGTACTCACAGGGTCTGAAAGTCCTAAGTGAGATATGAGGTCCTCTATGGGAAAGCCAAGTAGTTGCATGAAATACAAATTAAAAAGACTGGAGGGATAGTTTAGTTGCTAGAGTGCTTGCCTGACATGCTTCATGCCCCTGCTTCAAGCCCCAGCAGTACATAAATCAGGAGTGGTAGCAAATGCCTGTAATACCAACGCTTGGAGGTAGAGGCATAAAGATCAGAAGTTCTGTCCTTAGCCGGAGAGGGAGTTTGAGGCTAGCCTGGCATACGTGGAACCCTGTCTCATGGGAAATGAAAAGGGGGCGGGGGGGGGGTAGTAAGATTTCTCAGTGGGTGAAGGTGCCCGATGTCATGAGTTTGATCCCTGAGACCTACCTGGTGTGAGGAGAACCAGTTCTCACAAGTTGTCTCTGACCTCCACAAGTACACCTTATCAGATGTTGCCCCCCCTCCCCCACAAGAAAAAGAGAAAAAATTAAAAGTTGTCTAGTAATAAACTGTCGCATGCCTTTAAGTATAATTTGTTACTGTGGCTGTTATGATTATGTTTTAGCTTTAGTAAGAACAGACTTAAGGGGATAGAGTGATGGCGCTTGGCTGGTTTCCAGAGTTAGAAGGAGTTATAAAAACTCCTAGGCTATTTAGGCTTTAATTTTGGCAGACAGTTCTTTCCAAACACTGAGTCTTTTGAGGCAGGCTAGTAGGGGAAATGGTAGAGTGCACAGGCCTCTACTATGGGTTAGGCTTGTGTTATCTATTATCTGTTTCCTGTTATCTATTTGATTTCAGACAAGTGAGTGTCAGGTTGGCGTTTGAATTCTTTCGTCTTTTTCCCCCCCAGTAATTAGTGACGGACATTGAGGTCACTTGGATGAGTAAGAGGAACTGTAGGCCTAAGTCAGAGCTGTAGTCCATATCACATTTGCTAAGCATGGATACCTTGGCTGTGTCACCTACCTTCTCGAATCCTTGTGAGCAGGAGAGCTGGGCTCTTCCCCACCTGGTCGTTCCTGTGTTCATTACAGCTATGCCCTCGGGCCGGGCGGGGACGCGGAGTTAAGTGTGGAGTGTCCAGGAAACTGAAATACTGACGTACAAAAAGCCCATCCAGGGTCGAAGGAGACTACTTATTTATTAATGATTTCCACGAATAAAATACAGATAGAGGATTGTTAATGTGTCCTAATGTCTGTGCTTAGGAGCGGTCTTTTTTTTTTTTTTTTTTTTTTTAATACTTTGTTTTGCTCATGATGGTTTTACCTACATAATTTATTACCTAGTAGTCATTCCATTTTCCATTGTGCCCAGGTAGGGGGGCTGGGGTAGAGATCCTAAAGGGAAGCACAGGGTTCTCTGACAGTGGGCTGTGCATGTGTTCATGTTAAGACCCGGACGGGACAGTTCCCGACAGTTGAGGATTTGCAGAAAGTGTAGCTCCTTGGAAAGAAGTGGAGACCGTCTGCATGAGACTTCCCATCGTCCCTGCACTTGCAGAGTCATTTAGAAAGGAGCCTGCTCCTGTCAGCTGCTTTGTAAAGAGCTATTGATTCTATTCTTGAAAGATGGTAATATTGTTTTTCCTTTAATAGGGATTGCTAGAGCGTTTGCTTCTCTTTCAGTTTCATTGATTGGATATCTTGGCAAGCTTTGAGTTAGGGATATGCAAAACTAAAAATGGTATTGGAAGATCACAAATGAAATTGATGCCCAATAATCCCACAAAAGGCCTGGGAAACTCCATGAAGGCTGTAGCTAACGTCTGCTTAATGGGGGTGGAAACTGCAGTGTTTAGGTTAGAGAGAACTTTTGCCAGGGAGAGCTCAGATTGCGTCATATAGACTTCCACTTACATTGAGGGAAGAGTTCATTGTTGTCCTTGTGCTCCTCCTCCTCCTCCTCCTCCTCGTGGTGGTGGTCATCGTCATCGTTGTCTTCCTCTTCTTCTTCTTGTAGAATGAAAAACCCATTGGAACTATGGGCAGGCATTGGAAGAGGTGAATCTTGTCTTCATAGAGCTTATCATTTAATTGGGAGGCAAGGAATGCAGATGCTAAGTATAAAGACAGGGCTGTCAAGCTTGTGTCTGTTCTTTGTACCATCAGTGCTTTGGTAAAGTGTCAACGGTCCCCTGAGGAACACTGACAGGAACGGTGCCACCCTTTGAAGAGGGGGTTGTGTGTCTTGGTTGTTTCACAGATGTTGCTTTGCTTGAGGTAATAAGTCTCTTTCAAGAATTATTCTATGTGGACTGGGTATCCAAACTGGCTCTGAAAGCCAAAGCTAGATTTGAAACCCACCCCGGGGTGGCCCAGTAGATCTTAATGCTGGACAACTTCTAGCCTTTGTCTCAGCACCAGCCTAGGTTCTTTGCTTTACATTTTTAATAATTTATACAGTCTTACGTCTTTGGTCCTTTTCAGAATAGAATGTGGTATAAACACATACCCACGAACTCCATGGAGGAGGACAGGAAGACAGATAGACTCGTTTAGCAAGGGCCAGATATGGTGAATAGGTTTTGTGTCGTGGGCCAGTGTGGTGGGAACGCTACTGTGGCCACTGAGCAGGGCTGTGGTCATGGGTGGGAGCCCTGCCATCGTGAGCCTTGGTACTTGCTGTCCCTGGTGTAGATAAGATACACAGCATGCTAAAAACACAATAGGTGGGTGGCTTTTAAGTTTAGATTTTTCAGGGAGAGAGGCCAGTTTGAAGAAGCAGCGGACAACATGCTGGATTGGCAAGCAGCCCCACCCAGCCAGGATCCATGTACATTTAAGGAGACGCGATGTTGGTGGGAAAGACTCACCAGATAGCGGAGGAAAGTGGAGGGTTTCTTTTCATTTCTGAATTTGGATTTCTAATCTCTCCCACTCCCTACAGTATTTTCCCAGTTTCTCTTAGTCCAAGTCCTTTTTATTATAAAAAGCTAATTGTGATTTGAGTAGGTAATACGGCCTACATTTCAGTTTATAAGAGGCGAGCAGACAAGTGAGGAAGACTTACTTTTGTTCTTCTTCCTTGAGTCCTTGCCTTTGTGAAGTGGCCGGTCTTAGGTTCATGTGCCTCTCCAGAAGTATCTGTTTTATATCCGTGTGCTTTCTTATCCTTTTGACAGAAAGGACACCTCAGTCCCTGTGCCCACACTCTTCCAGGACAGTGTGCACACTGTCTGAACCTTGACTTCTTTTTCTCTCATGCCAGGACATGAAGAGCTTTGTTCTCCTCCCCCACCTGATCTCTCCTCTTCCCTCTCCTCTCCTCTCCCCTCTTCTAGCACTCCCTCCTCCCTCCCTCTCCTCCCTCCTCCCCTCTTCCTCCTCCCTCCTCCCTTCCCTTCCCCTCTCCTCTCCTCTCTCCTTTCTTTTGCTGACAAAGTCTCCTGTAGCCCAGGCTTGTCTGGAACTCTGTGTAGCTGAAGATGACATTAAACTCCTAATCCCCCGTCTCCACCCCGAAGGACTAAGATTAAGTGTATGAGCCACAGCACTTGGATTATTTATTTGTTTTTTTGAGACAGACCTTGCCATTTGCCCAGGCTGCCTTTGAGCTACACTGGGTCCTCTCTTAGCATCTTCTTTTTGAGAGAGAGAGAGAGAGACAGAGAGACAGAGACAGAGAGAGACAGAGACAGATACAGAGAGAGATTGATTGATTGGTACTATTATGTTTGGTGCTGGAGATCAAACTCAGCACCTCATGCAGGACACGTGTATGCCTAGCCTCACGTGGGTGAGTGCTCTGATACTGAGCCTATCCGTAGCCTCTTATTCTGGAATAGTTTTAGATATATTATACAAGGTATCCCTCTCATGCACCTCACCCAGTTCCAGTTTCCTCCGACTTTATCTTAGAATAGCAGATTAGTCAAAACCAAACATCATCGGCATGTAACCAGTGACTAAATGACTCAACTTCAGGCTTTCTCTGGACATCCTCTGTTTTTCTACTTGTTGTCCCCTTTCTGTTCAAGGACCCTTAGAGTACTAATAAAGTAGTAATTGCATGACTACTTTTCTCTCAGCTCAGCCTTGTGTTTTTGGATGACCCTACGAGTTTTGAGAAGTACCTATTAGAATACCCCAGAACACCCCTGAATGTGTGTGTGTGTGTGTGTGTGTGTGTGTGTGTGTGTGTGTGATATTTTCCTCATGACCACATCCTCATGACCACAGCAGTGCTATGGGTATGTCTTGCTATTTCTGTAGTCAAGCCTGCTGCTTGTTTTCTGTAGCCCTGCCATGTAAGAGTCACTAGGTGATTTAGGAAGCTATAATGGTTCAGACTGGGTTTGGGAGCTTGATCACCTCTGTCCAAACCCTAGCTCTGCCCCACAGTGTCATGTTGGGTCTCTTTTCCCTGGCACCCACTTTTAAGAGTTGTGGGAGGATTAAATGAGAAAATGTGTGAGATGCCTAGGGAAGCATCTGGTGTGATTCTAATGCTAGATGCATGCTTATTATTATTAAATTTTTACTGTTTTGGTTGTTAGAATAGTACTGTAATCATTAACTGTTTTGTTATTTCACAGATAATGGAGTGGAAGGTGTATGTCAGAGTAGTTCTAGAAACTGGAACTTAGGTCTCTACTAGTCACTTTAGAGGAGGAGAGCTGATTGAGTGAAGATAGGGATTCCAAGGGGATGTGTTAGATTGCTTGACAGGATGCGGTCTGGGCAGCCCAGCAGTGGCTGTCTCATAGTCACTCAGTACATGACATGGATGGCTGAGCAGTCCATTCTAGCACTCGATGCCTGGAGG